CGGGTGGGTTGATTGTGCATCTAACAAAAGTGAGCACTCTCTCTCTCATTCTCTCTCTCTCTCTCTCTCTCTCTCTCTCTCTCTCTGGCGCTTGAATTTCCCTCAAAGAACGTTACACATATATGTTCAACAAAGCAAAACTCATCTATCTGATACACGAATGCATCATGAAGTCCGAAGGACACATGGAAAACTTGCTAATTACCTGTTCTCCCACAGGCTATGACACGACAACGTGGCGCTCTTCCTCGTCCCAAAACCAGATGTCGACACTGTCAGGGTCTGGTCGAGTCACTTCAACAGGAAAGTCGAGCTTTCCCAGAAATGTAACACTCCCTAGCTCTAGTGAACACAGTACTACGGTTGGGCAGCCATCACCAGGTACTTCCTTGTCAAGCGATGCAAGTGACAGAACACTTTCTGACATACTTTTATTTTCTACGTCACCCACAAAAAATACTGATGATCTAAAACCTATAGTGACGTCATCGAAATCGTTGTTGACGTCATTTATGACTCAAGTTACTCACACTACTGATTTGCCCACTCCTCAAAACGCGAAGGACCGGCAAATCCACACAGAGGGATCCAAAGGTGGGTAATGTCCTTAAAATTAATGTGAAGAGGCAAAATATTTGATCATATAAAAATACCTTGTATCTGTGAGCCACGGGACAAAGGTGAGGTTTAGAAGCCATAGCACAGAGCCGAACCACTGGGAAAGCAGTTCAGGTTCTAGTTTTAAAGGACCGTTAAGCCTGCATGTACAAACGCGCATCGACAAGAATGATTATGAGGGGCTTCAGTGTTTAACAATTAAGGGGCGGGTGTGTTTCTGTGAACAGAATGTGATAGAAACATTTATATCACGCAGCTACCAACACCATGAAGCTATTTTAAGGCATTTCAGCGATTTGGAGTAGCGTCTTCTGGTGTTTGTACAGCATATGTATTACTTTACAATTTTATATGACTAATGAATTTCAAATCCATTACTATTGCAGATTACGTAGTGCCAGTAGCAGTATCAGTTGGTTTATTGGTTTTGATCGGGATTGTTATAGCCGTCGTGATGTGGTACAGGTAAAGGCTAAAAATTAAAAAAAAAAGTTTGTAGTAGAATAAACAGGGAAAATATCAAATGAACATCAGATTTTATTGTCACTATAAATATTTTCATGGTATGAAATAAATCACTGGTAATATCCATTATGTGCAGTGTAAGTTCTCTATACATATCATAAGAACTTTTTGCTATTTTAATGGAAAGAATGGTAATTTTGATGAGGTGTTTCGCATGTACATGTAGGCCTATGACTTGTTTTATTCAGTTTTACTAATGTACTCTCCAAATCCCTTGTCGAGTTTTGAATTTCTAAATCTTACAATACCATCATTTAAATTCTTTTTCATTAATAAACTAGTTGCCGAAAAGTAGCAACTAACATACCGTGTATAGATATAAAAAACAGGTTAAGTGTGCGGTGATGATAAAGGTTGGAGGGGGGGGGGGTCAAAATTTCCAGGAAAATCGATTTCATTGTATGTTAAGGTTCAAAGCGCATTTTATGTCTTTACCCGAGCTTAAAAATGTTCTCCTCTAACAATAACATTTCATCTTACGATCTCTTAATTAATTAATTATCTCTTTTTAAAACTAGATGCCGCCGAGCAAAAAGATCCAAGAGTGACAACCCCAGTTCAGAACCAGTCGTCAAATACAACAACAAGCACGACGTAGATATGGAGCCAGTTTTTATGCACGCTAACGATATATACGACGGCTGTGAGATACAGAGTGACACGTTTCCAGGTATACTTGTATCCATTCATGACATGTTTCATTAATGAATTCTCTCATGGTTCTTGTGCAGCCTGCGCTTCCCATTTGTTCATGTTTGTCTTTGCTTTAAATCACCTGTTTTCGTCAGTGGTCTTACTGCCCACTGTCTGTTAATTTTCTTTTTCAACTTGAATTTCGGATTGCTTCTCTTTTTATCAGTTGTCTTCTTGTTTCCCCTCGATTTATCTTATATCAAACTTATTTAAGTCTTCATTTCATGTGGAGTCACAGGAAATTAAATATAAAATGATTTATGATACACCAGCAAGTGTTTATTCTTTTTATTTGTGTATTTATATAGATCACACGTTAAGGGAACCAACAGAGGTGGATAATGTTTCAACACCACAGGAAGCTAGAATGATGCCCGATGTTGCGAACCCCCTGTATATGGCTCCAGTGTCCACCGTTAACAGGGGCGTGACCAGCGGTCAAACACGTGGGGTGGACAAAGCCGGGCCAGATCAAATGTCAAAGACAAAGCAAACTGCCAATGATACCAATGAACCAACGGCTCAAGACCAGCAGAGAAAATTGATGACAAATGGTAACTCTTTTGCAGACAAATTGGAGAACGACACATACTGCCTACCGGATGCTACCCTAAAGAAACTCAACGGCGGCAAAGATGACGCCACTCGTTCTGCGGGAAATAAAAAATCGCCATACAACACATATGATGTCCCACGTTCTTTGATCAATTGGTCCAAGACGGAAGCTACCGATGATGCGCCAAGCCCCCTTTTGAATGCTGATCTTGCCCCTCATGACCACAATCAGTCACGTACTACTTCGTCTGGGAGCTCCGATACGGTCCCCGGTCAACAACAAAAGGGCACCAAAGACGGCAAAGCAGGGAATGTGCCCAAAGAATCCGCCACGAATTCCAGCCGTCAGAATGGTCGAGGAAATCGTCTCCCGCCAAAAGATCTGTATGCCAAAGTGGAGAAACACAAAAAGGGCGCTAAAGTCGCTAGGGGTGACAGGTCCGATGCAGTTGCAAACTTGGACCAAGTCCTCCAGGACTTGCAGCAGACGAATGATTCCCTTGAACAAGTTGCTATCAGACTGGACAAACAAGACGAGGACGGGAACTCCAAGGTTCCGACATCGGAGAACGTGTACGTGAACCAAGGATATGTGAAAGAACATTTTTAAGATTTTGAGGACTTGTTATGTTGCCAAACTGCATTATAACCCAATTTACGATAATGAAATTCCTTTTCGTGAAAAATGTATGCAGTGCGTGTGCATGTATTTTGCTTAGGGCCCCTTTACACTGGACGGCGTCCTTACTGCGTCCCTTCTGCGTTCAAAAATGTGGTCAGGACGCTCAACGGTCGCCGAAGCAATTAAATCGTGTCTCAGTGTAAAGGCGTCTGCGTCCCTTGTGCGTCCTTTGAACGACCGAATCTTGATTTCACCTGTAAAACTGCGAGCAACCTGCCTGCCTCCACTGTACGTCCCCTGTGCAACCCAAGGCGTCCACTGCGATGTTTGAGCAACCATTGAGCATCCTTGCTGCGTTTTCTGCACCATCATCGGCGATCAGTGGCTCTATTCTACGATCATTATGCATCCTGCTTGACCGATGAGCGTTGTTTGGGCGTCTTTCTCTATATTGTAACTCATATTTTTTCATCGGTTCTAACCAGGTCATCCAATAAAGAACATTTCCATCACACAAAACAAATAAATGGGAATAAACGCTTTAAACTATAATGATGTAAGGTCTGCATGGACTGATAATCAGCCAGATGCTCATTTTTATTCTTATAAGAAGGATGGACAGGTGCCGAAAACGAAAAAGTGTGACTGACACAACATAGAATATTCGAATCCGTTTTCAAATGACGCATTCTGCAAAAAAGTTCTGACAATTAATGCATCTTGTTAAAAAAGGCAAAATATTCGTTTTGTAATAACCTAAACAAAAATGGATCGTTTCATGTATTTTAGGGGAAAAAACAATCGGAGGCTGATATGAGACCACTGTTGCCCTTAGAATTCCTGTATGGTGAAAAATACCTCAGCACGGCCCTGTTTGACAGTGAAAAAATAGTGTTCTACGTGCCGAACACTGGACGATCTTTGAGTTTTCATTCTGCAACCAAAGCGATGCTTGTGCCTCCTTTCTACAACCGGGGCGATGCTTGTGCGTCCTCTCTGCGACCGCGGCGATGCTTGTGCGTCCTCTCTGCGACCACGGCGATGCTTGTGCGTCCTTTCTGCGTCCATTGAGCGACCATCCTCCATCGCGTTCTCTCTGCGATTGTTTTGAACATGCTCAAAACATCGCGGCGTCCATGGCGTCCTCGGCGATGCTTGAACGTTCTCTGTGCGACCTTGGCGATCACTGTGCGTTCTTTGAGCGTCCGACGGCGTCCTGGCCAGTTTCATGGTCGCACAAAGGACGCAGAAAGGACGCCGTCCAGTGTAAAGGGGGTTTTACGAAGAATGCAATACTGCAGGTATCAAGATACTGAAAGGAATTAATTCAAATGGTGGGAACACAATAAAGTGTGTGTGTGTGTGTGTGTGTGTGGGGGGGGGGGGGGTCTTATTAACCATATGTGTAAGCTACATGTATATTGATTGTTAGGCGCTTACGAATGATAAATGTGTACATTATTAGATGCTTACTTTTCAATTTCTATTGAATTTGCATCGAACTTCCATAAACTAAGACACGATTAAAAATTCACTATGTGTTTCCTTTTAATTAAATTTATTAATGTAAATGAAGAGAACCATTTTACAGAAAACCAATTTAGGAATTAATCCTCTGCGTTGAAAAATGTGCTTGCATGCTTACGTTCAAAGCACTTTAAAATAATGGTGATATTTTTTAGGATTGTTAAAGTATTTTCATAAAGTAAATCAGTGTAACTAACATTCTAATATGTTTCACTTGATTCCACATTTTTGAAATTGAAAGCTGCACAGAGGGAGGGAGGAGTACGTTTCGTGTGATAAAAAACTTGAACACGTGTTCATATCAGTTTCTCGGGACTTTCATTTCCCATAATTAAACTGGATATTTTGTTCTTCACTTGAATATTTGAAATAAAACGCCACGTCTTTACATTACGATATTTTGTTTCTAATACTTTTTTCTACTTAAAAACATTTTCTCTCTAAAGTGATGAAAAACTGGTTTACAAAAGCAAAGAAATGTTTTCATTTATTGGCATTCAAGTTATAGTCTAGTACACTTTCAACTGAATCATCGGTTGCTGGCATCGGTTATAACAAATTAAATTTGCTTACTACACACATATGCTTAAAGGACTACATGGAAGCAGATTTGTGACAGTCAAGACAAACGAGAACATGCCTACATAATTTTTGAAGCTCTGTGCATTTTATTAAGTCCGATAACTTTCATTAAAAGAATTGTTCATTTGGAGGACATATCCCTGATAGCACCCATATAAGTTAAAAATCCTACCCAAATCACACGTCAAATACATGTAATGAAAGACCACTGAAATATATCACCCACAATACCTTTTGCACAAATCAGGCAATCTACACGAAACCTCTCTGTGTATAAGTCCAATCATGCACTCCATTAAAACCTGTAACCTTTACATGTTCTTTCCTGGTGATCGTGTTGGATTTAACAACTATCAACAACTTCAGAATAACAGTAAGTAAAACATAACAACAATAATGGACATGCCAGGCTGACAGTTGAAACAGTGTGTTTGGTGTAATGTTGGGTTAGGTGTGGTGTGTTAGAGGTGAGATTGTCATGTGTAAATGTGTTAGGTGTGACAGTATGTTGGTTGTGATATTGGACTGGTTGTGACTGTATGTTAGATATGACAGTGTGTTAGGTGTACCAGTGTGTTGAGTGTGAAATTATGTTAGGTTTGACCAGTGTGTTAGATGTGACAGTGTGTTAGGTGTGCCAGTGTATTGAGTGTGACAGTGTGTTAGGTGTGACAATGTGTTGGGTGTACACATCTGTAAGCCTGAAGCCTCATATCCTATTCTCCAGCACATTCCTCAGAGCCTCCAGCCTGGCTATAACAGTTTCAATGTTTGGTCTCTCTGTGTGCTCTACTTGTAACATGAATAGTATCAGGTCTCTCAGTTCCTGGGAATATCTGAAACATTCAAGGGCACAGTCAGGTGTCTGGTGTGAGTATGCAAGATGTGGCATTTTATATGGTATCACAGTGTAATAGCTGTGATAGGTGTGACACTGTGCTGGGTGTGACATTGTAATAAGTGTGAAAGTGTGATAAGTATGACATTGAGCTAGGTGTGACATTATGATAGATGTGATAATGTGATATCTGTGATAGGTGTGACAGTGTGTTGGGTGTGACATTGTGATAGGTGTGACAGTGTGCTGGGTGTAACATTGTAATAAATTTGAAAGTGCGATAGGTGTGACAGTCTGATAGGTGTGACAGTGTGATAGGTGTGACATTGAACTGGGTGTGACATTCCAATAATTGTGAAAATGTGATAGGTGTGACTGTGAGATAGCTGTGACATTGTGATAGGTGGGACAGTGTGCTGGGTGTGACATCATGTAAGATCCGACAGTGCACTACTTCACATATAATGATTTGTTGCATGGTTATTACTACTTTAACTCACGTTTCATCTTGTGGAAACCTGATATTGCCAGAGCCCACGGCCAGTGCAATGCTGTCCCCTCTCTGGTACACTTCATCAAATGGGGACTTCAGGTATGCCAAGGCATAGAGTACACAGCCCAGGGACTGAAATATTGACAACAGAACTCACATACAGTACAGTATAGAGTACACAGCCCAGGGACTGAAATATTGACAAAAGAACTCACATACAGTACAGTATAGAGTACACAGCCCAAGGACTGAAATATAGACAACAGAGCTTGCATACAGTAGTGTATAGAGTACACAGCCCAGGGACTGAAACAGAGCCCATATATATTTCTCTTGTAGCTTTTCTTTTTACTTTTTTGTCAAAAGACATGAATTCATGTAGCAATCTGGGATTCATTTCATGTACTTTATCACAGCCTCTGTGGCCCCATTCAGAATTGACGATTCGAGTACTTACTGATCTGCCAATTAAATGTGGCTGACCACAGATCAAAACCTTGGAGCAGAAATTTAATCCATTTAAAGGTTTGGTGGAAACGGGAATCGGCAGCATTGCTTTTGATAAGTACTCAGAACATCCATTCTGAATGGGGCCTATGGTGCATTAGTTGCAATGAACCTTATTTCTTCTTTCATTGCTAAAACATGATTCTCACCCATATATCTGTCTTTTCATCAATAGTGGAATAGCTGGGAATGTTAAACAGTTCTGGGGCTCTGTAAGGCATGGAGCATCTCTCTGCAGCCAAGTCCTGGAACAGAATAAACTTCTTTCAGCAGCCTGATCTTGCAACAAAATGGACAATCATACAAAAAAAAAAAAAGAACCTGCAAGGTACTTAACACCAGTCTCTTATTAAGTTCTCTAATTTAATTATCATGTTTCTGAATTAACAAAATATAGGGGGGGGAAACAAACTAACTACAACAATGTTCAAAATTATGAATAGAGATTGAACTCTGCTGGATTTTGACTATATCTCCCTGCACCTTAATTGTTGTACAAAGTATTCTTCATTTAAGATTTTTTTTTTTTTTTTTTTTTTTTGTGGGGGGGGGGTCTAAGGAACTGACTCTTTGGTTGGAAAAAGTCCGCTCTCAAGCTGTAGCTTGGGGGGTGGGGGTGAACAAACCATCCTTTTTGCAAGGAAAGGGCCCAGTTTAGGTAAAATAAGAATCAGGTATATAAAGTTTCATGATAAAAAAACCATACTTTGAGAACCTGCCCCTCACCACCACCACCCTCCTCAAAAAATTGCCAGCTACAGGCCTGGCTCTGAATTATAACTTGATATATGTTCTGTGCCGTTTTTCAACTTAGGTCAACTAGATAGAGAAGAAGGTTCATTTTTTAAAGAGCTCCACACCCCCTTTTAAAATTGCTGGCTAGAGACATACTTTTTAGATAATGTGAGACTGGGTACTGAAATACAGCAAATGAAATTTTAAAAAAACCTGCAACACTTAGAAAATTCTCAGAAAACCTCAAGTTATTAAAGGACTTACAAATGTGAAAGACTTGGTTCCCATACCTAGATCCATCTAACAGGATCAATCCATCTTCTAGGGTTTTCTCACAAAATTGCTTTCAGCTTAAGCAGCGTAGATGTCTGGCATGCCTACTGAAGCTGCTAAACAAAAATGAATTACCTTCTAGCAGCTTCAGTAGGCATGCCAGACATCTATTACACTTAAATTGATTGCAATTTAGTGAGAATCCCCTCAGAGATACATGTAGATTGATCCACAGTACGATAGGGTCTGGGAATGGTCCCTAAGCCTATGGTAGTAACATACCTGGAGTGCTAATGCCTGAGAGTGCCCATTTATTTCTACCCTTGCTTTGGCAGCAGATCCAAAATCCATCAGTACCACTGTGCCATCATCTGCCAGCATGAGATTGCCTGGTTTCAGATCTCTGTGACAAAATATGCCAAACTAACTTTTTCGTAAAAATCAAATGGTTTTTTTCTGTCTATACTTTTTTAGTTTTTTTTTTTTTTTTTTGTACTTAGGCCATTTTCATACTGTACTTTTATATAATACATGTATACTGCAAGTGACAACTGCGGCCTGTGGACAAACTTTTCTTAATCAAAACATTTTTTTCTTTCTCTTTTCATTTACTCAACACAAGATAATACATAATTGTTAAGAACGTGATTACTTCATTTAATACACTTTCACTCATTAATTTACATTTTTCATTTGATCTTTTCAGTTGAACTGGATTCTCACTCATCATTGAATTATACAGTCACTATAGTTACCGTAGTTATAACATCAGTGTTGTAGGTAGTGACAGTCTGTTAGGTAGATCTATAGCATTTTGTTGGATGTGACAGCATTAGATTTACCCGTGTGCTGTAGGGCAAGTCTGCCAGTGGATGGACAACTCTCAGAGTGTGCTGGTTGTGACAATGTGTTAGATGTAACTAGTGAATTAGATTTACCTATGTGTTATATGGTGAGGCTGGTGGTGATGAAGAACTCTCACACTGTGTTGGATGTGATAGTGTGTTAGGTGTGGCATTGTGTTAGATGTGGCAGTGTTAGATTTACCTATGTGCTATAGGGTGAGGCTGGTGGTGATGGAGAACTCTCACAGCTTCACATATATCAGTAAATAACTTGATTATCCTGCTCTCTGGAATGTGTTCATGTTTCCTCTCCATCCTCTCTATCTCATCTTGTAAGGTCCCTCTCTGGAACAGCATAAAACAAGCATGGGTACAATTACCTAGAGATTAAATGTCTGGAATATCGAGCACAGGACAGAAAATTACTATAGTACAGTTATTTCAAAATGAGATCATGCACATAAATCAAGACACTAGCCAGGCAAGTGGGAAGCTGCCTTTAGGGCTCTCTGTCTTACACGAGGACAGTCAATTTGAGATTACTGTCAGTTTTTAATTGGGGCATATGGAAGTTGTACCTAGCCTCACAAAGAAAATTAATTTTGAGTAAGGGATATTTAGGCCCATTTCTTAAAGTGAAAGTGTAAAAAAATATTTGTGTCACAACAATATTTTTCTCATATGAGCCACCAGTGCTGGCAGCCGCTATTAGGTGGAAATCCATAAATCAAGAGCCAAGGGGCATAACAGCACTCAAAATAGGCAAATACCTTATAAATATTGTTCACAGTCTTACCCTAAAGAATGGCAACAACACCAACAATTCACTCCTTGCAGAGCTGGCACTCACAGGCTGTACAGGCACCAGCATGTGGTCCTCAACCTTGATGATATTGGGGTGGCTGATATCTTGGCAGATCTCCACCTCTCTCATAGCATCTCTCTCATCTTCCTTGGAGTGACACTGGATACGTTTGAGTGCAAATTTTCTGTGACTTCTGGTGTGTTCCACCAGATCCACTACACTGAACCCCCTGGAATATGGAGGGAATAAAAAATGTGCTGCTGTGTCACATATGGAGGCGTAGGTCATTTCCCATCTACACTGGCCATTACTTATTCTGATACCTTTGAACTAACCCTAACCTGTATGTAAGTCTAATCATATGGGCCTCGATCTGCATTCCTGCATGTACTGTAGTATTACCTTTCCTGGCTTCTTGAAATAATAAATATTTTGTCTCTAACTTCATATGGATAAAAATACAATTGGAGTATACCAAAAATGCTTAGCAATACAGTATAGTCACAACATATCTAGTACATATATTCCTTCTTTTCTTTGATTTTTACCACCAGCAACATTTTCTTCTAATCTTTTTCATTGAAAATGGAGGAAGCAATCAGATCATTAAGTTCAAGCACAGATGATTTTCTTAAAAGCTAACAATTTTCTGATTAAATGGACATTTTCATCAAATATTTTAAAACAAAAGCATGCATAAAATGACTAATTACCTCCCCCCCTTCCACACACACACACCAAATTAATGATGAAAATGAAATTACTATTATAGTAAACCACACATTTGTACATGTACTAGTATGTGTAATCCTTTCTTAGCTGTAAATCATTCTAAGTTAAATATATTTTCCTTCCACTTACCCTTCACCAAGCCTTGACCTTACAAAATATTTCTCATTGTTGATCCTTATGGATTCCTTCCCACAGACGCATCCCATCTTCAACAGTATACTTAGTCCATAAGCATTCATCAGTGATATTCTTCCAATATATTGCACAGCTGTAGCGGGAAGTCAATCGTTAATGGCAGGAATTACATCTCTACATACGGAAATGATTTGATTAATAAAAGGAACATTTAGACATAAATTTGGCCTTTCACATATTCCACTTTTAGTCTTAGGTGACAAAGAGTTTCGTGTGTAGCATCAAATGATGGAAATCAGAAGTGAACCGGCGAAAATAGCCCTAATGTTTACAGACGTACGTGTAAATGCCAACTTGACCAAATATACAGCTAGCTCACTTATGGAGACGTGTCACCACAGACCAAAAGGTGGCGGAAACGGGACCTGAGGCCAATATAAACTCCATGTCAGGCTATTCACAATTTCAGTGGCAAATCCTCACGTGAATTAGTGGAATCTGCATCTTTTGTATCGTTTGTGTCTAGAATCTTATTTGAACGTCTGGTGGAATTTGATATTTGAAGAGTAAGCTTGTTCCGATTGAGGAATTATATATTGTATCTGAAAAAAGAAGAATCGGCGAAGCAGTAATAGGTACACATACGATGGGCTACTGATTCGTTCTGTCTAATAACAATGGCTTTGGGTTTCGTGCTAAAAATTCTTGTTTGTTTTATCACCTAAATAATTTACTCTCAGGTATTTAATTTGTGTATTTAAATATGCAGACAAAAATGCATTCAGCTTTGTTTAAAAAAAATTCCGGTGACAGTTGTATTCTGCTGCTGTGCTCAGAAAACTTCTATTTAACTTACGTTTATGTAGGCCTATTATTAATTTAACTTATTGAGAGAAATAATACTAATAATACTATAACAGACACACACACACACACACATTATATATATATAAGATTGTTGAAAAGTGTAAAATGTTCCTATACATGTAGGCCTACAGCTATATCCTAATTGTTAAAAAGGCACATTACCAAGCATATGTACTACCAATAAATGCAGATTGGTAAGAATAAATTTACTGAATTTCTCTTTCATAATTTGATAAGCGCATTCCCATTGATTTTAGATCGATCGGTCCCCGTGGGGAATCTCACTAGATTACTGTCAGATAATCCGGGTTAAATTTTCGTCCCTCCTACTACAAGCTGTAAAGGGGTAATTAACTTTCGTGCCCGCTCGGCTGACAGCTATTTAGCGTGAACCCCCAGGGAGTTAGGTCGATCTAGTTGGATCGATCTAATCTCTGGGAATGGGGTGTTAGTGGGCCCTTTGCTGAGGGGTTCATGAAGGACTGTGTACGTACTACAGGGTACTCGGTTAATATAACGTAGTCTACGCAGCTGATTTTTGTTATATAGACACGCACTGGTAGCCAAACGCATATTGCAGTCGACTCAGAAATGTATTGAAGACGAGAAAAAATCCCATAGTGTATTCAATTGTACAATGCAACACAAAGGTTTCCAAAATTAGACTACCGTCATTTCGATCATCATTATATGTCTGTATGTATATAAGCTAGCATACCAGTCACAAGATGGCTTCAGTGAAGGCATCATACAGCGATTTTCTTGATATATCAGTAGTGCTGTGCACGGTGGCATTTCTTTTACTCCTTTGGCTTGCAAGACAACGAGATCGTTTTAACCTCCCTCCTGGTCCATGGGGTTTCCCTGTTGTCGGCGTTTTACCCCTCCTCGACAAAGATCCCCAGCTGACAATGATGAAATGGGCCAAGAAGTATGGCAACATTTTCACCGTCAAAATGGGAACCACAACAACGGTTATATTGAACGGTTATGAAGCTATTCGAGATGTGTTTCAGAAACAGGGAGCCTTGTCTTCTGGCAGGCCGCATATTCCGAGTTTCGGGTTTCTCCGTGGGAAAGGTAGGTTATAGAGATTATTAACATTTATGGTGTCTGAAAAAGGAGTCATGCTTACAAGATATTCCTGTAGAGATGAATATTATTTATAGCTAGGTTCTATGTCAAATTGTTCTTCGCTGTGGAAGGAAGCACCTATGAGAGAGGGGCTATACCAAGAAACCCCGTAAAACTAGGGTTTTCTGGGTCTCCTTTTTTCTCTTTAATTCTCGCCTCTCTCTCTCTCTTCTCATTTATGTTTCCCGTACAATTTCAAGTCAGTCTCTCTGAAATACTCTCTAGCTATAGGCTTAATTACACCTCTTTACGACCTCAGATCAAACTAAACACAGTTCCAGAACCATATGCATCAGATGTTATTATTGAAAAGTGATCAATATGACCAGGTATTATGCTTTCGAAAAGAAACAAAATACGCATTTAGATGAACATGAAATCGAGCGTTTTCCCTTTCAACGCAATACAAAAACATTAATTCAAATACAATTTCGACCAAACAGTCTTCCTTTTTTATTTGTAGAGTTATGTCTTATCTTCTAGGTATATTATGCGCTGATTACAGCAATGGGTTAAAACGACAGCAAGAGTTTATCATAAAATATTTATCAAAGGTTGACGTGGAAAAGCACATTGAAGATGAAGTCGACGCCCTTATCCAATACATAAGGCACAAAAACGGACAACCGTTCGACTTTAACAGTGCTGTTAGTGCTTCCACATCTAACATCATAGGGGCCATATTGTTTGGTAGCAGACAGGAATACGTCGATCCAGTCTTCCAAGCGCTAATAAATGCCTACCACAACGCAGTCAAATTGTGTAGCGAAGCCTCCATCCAGAACTTTCTTCCGTTTCTGTGGTTTTTGCCTCAGTGCCGAAAATTGGCAATTGCCTGGGAAGCTTTCGCAGAAGCCGTTAACCGAATTCTGGAAAAGCACAAAATGGGTTACAACCCATTGGCAACACGAGGGCTTATTGATGCAATTATACACCAAATAAACGGGAAGGAGCAGAATGAAAATTCGCTGTTTGACACTGAAGACCTCAAAGCTAATTGTCAAACACTGTACGTTACTGGATCGGAAACGACGTCGACGGCTTTCACATGGGGCATGCTCTTCCTATTGTCTTATTCAGACATCTGCTAGAAGCTCCAATCAGAGTTGGATAAAGTCGTGGGGAAATCACGTCGCCCAACACTTGAAGACAGACCAAACCTTCCCTTCGCTTGCGCTAGCCTCATGGAAATATAGCGTTGTAATAACATAATACCGTTCTCGGCTCCCCACAAAGCTACACAGGACATCAGAGTTCATGGCTACTTGATACCCAAGGGGTCTCAACTAATGGCAAACTACTGGTCAGTATTCATGGACGAAACGGTTTGGCCCAATCCTCATGACTTTCAACCGATGAGATTTATGGATGACTGTGGAAACGTGAAAAATGTCGAAGGATTTATACCATTTTCGTTAGGTATTGAACTGTTTATGTCATTGTCGGAGCAAGAGATGATTGTAAAATTATATATATTAAAGAATTGTCGGCTACTTTTGTTATCATACTCATCATATAGATCTATGATTAAATAAACTCCGTTCTTTATTTAGACCTTAATCGCTGCAATTTAATGCAAGCATTGTTTGATATATCAATGCATTATTTTGTAATTTGCCGAAAATTTTGAAAACATACCACAACGATGAAGAATCTCATGTAGGTGCTAGTACAAAATTAGTATTGTAAATCACTATTGAAGAACCTAAAATACCTATATCCTTACTGTTTTTAAGGCAAGCGTTCCTGTCCAGGAGAGAGTCTGGCCAGACCGGAGATGTTCCTGATCCTCACAGCCTTGGTGCACACTTTCACGTTCCACGTGCCCCATGGAGAGGTGCTTCCGGCCCCAGTTGGTACCACCGGCTCTGTGTACGTGCCACCGAAGTTCAGCGTGTGTGCCCGACCAAGATACTAAAAGTTACATGAAGGACTATTAGGGGTTTCTTCTTAACCTTATTTATATCGGAAGTGGTCGTAAAAGCGTACATGTTTTGTGTCAACTTTTTATTAAACATTATTTTCCTGAGTTAAATAAAGGGTAGTTGTAATTTGGATCTAATTTCAATATCAATCAGATTTGGCCAACAATTTCAAAGAATGAACAAAGAGTGACAGAAAAATTTTCAATACTGTTTACATGGTATCACGTTCCCAGGCGCAAAAAAAATTTAATCAAACTCATTCAAAGTGCGTCAGGTCCCATGACAATAACATAAATTTACAACGGTTTCCAGCACAATGCAAAAAATCAAGAAAACGCATTCAAAGCGAAACATGCAGTTCTCTTTTTTTCCTTAGCGAGAATGCAAATATGACTATTTATGGTGAAAAGCAAACAGTGGCACTACATTAGCAAGGTGCTTGTTATATGATCACAACTGACAACTGATTTCTTGTGGTCATAGTGTTATCCTGCTGTCTATATATACTCGCTTGACACGCAGCAAATATGGGCTGAAGCAAGGTTGCAGTAAAAGGTATATAGAAAAAATCATATTTTGGTATATGTATTTTAATATATATTTCTGATTATTTCTGAAAGCGTTAAATGTTTTTATACAATAATATTCTAGTTGTTAAAAAGGCACATTACTAATCATATGTACTATCAATAAATGCAGATTAGTAAGAATTTACTGATTTTCTTTTTCATAATTTTATAAACTAAAGAATTATTTCCTCTTAGTGGGCCCTTTTCTACGGGGTTCATGAAGGACTGTGTACATTGTACTACAGGGTATTCGGTTAATATTAACTGATCTATGCAGCTTATTTTTGTTACGTAGACACATACTGGTAGTCATAAGCATACCTGTATAACAGACGACTCTACAATGCATTGAAGACAAGTAAAAAAAAAAAATCACATGATAGTTATAACCGCCATAATGTTTTCAAGTGTATACAATGCAACACAAAGGTATCCAAAATTAGACTACCGTCATTTCGATCATCACGCAAGTCACGTAATGTTATGGCTGCATAATATGTTTGTACGTATACGGGTACGCATACCAGTTTCGCAATGGCTTCGATGAGAGCATCATACGGCGATTTTCTTGATATGTCAATAGTACTGTGCACGGTGGCATTTCTTTTACTCCTTTTGCTTGCAAGGCAGCGAGATCGTTTCAACCTCCCTCCTGGCCCGTGGGGTTTCCCGGTTGTCGGCGTCTTACCCCTCCTCGACAAAGATCCCCAGCTGACTATGATGAAATGGGCCAAGAAGTATGGCAACATTTTCACCGTCAAAATGGGAACCACAACAACGGTTATATTGAACGGTTATGAAGCTATCCGAGATGTGTTTCAGAGACAGGGAGCCTCATCTTCTGGCAGGCCGCATCTTCCGGCCTTTGGGTTTCTCCGTGGGAAAGGTAGGTTACAGAGAAATTTGACTTTATGGTGTCAAAAAAAAAAAAAAAATAAAAATAAAAATAAAATAATAATAATAATAAAATAAAATGATAATAAAATAAAATAAAAAATAATAATGATAATAATAAATTAAAATAAATAAATAAATAAACACAGACAAGACAGAAAGTGTCATGTCAACAATATATTACTGTAGAGGTAGACATTCCTTTAATTTACATACGTTCTATGTAGAATTGCTCGTCTCTGAGGTGTTCTGGATATTTTTCTCTTTCTCACTTCTCTTTCCCCTCATTATGTCTCCCCAACAATTTCAAGACAGTCCTTCTAAAACATTCTGTACCTATGGACTTAATCAAACCTCTTTATGGCCTCAGATCAAACACAGTTCCAGAATGATCAGGCGTAATGATTGAACAGAGATCAATATATATTATTATATATCTTCCAGGTATATTATGCGCTGATTACAACAAGGCATTTAAACGACAGCGAGAGTTTATCATAAAATATTTGTCAAAGCTTGACGTGGAAAAGCACATTGAAGATGAAGTCGACGCTCTTATGCAATACATAAGGCACAAAAACGGACAGCCGTTCGACTTCAACAGTGCTGTTAGTGCTTCCACATCTAACATCATAGGGGCCATATTGTTTGGCAGCAGACAGGAATACGACGACCCAGACTTCCAAGCGTTAATTAATGCCTACCACCACGCGATCAAACTAAGTAGCCAAGCCTCCATCCAGAACTTTCTTCCGTTTCTGTGGTTTTTGCCTCAGTGCAGAAAATTGTCAATTGCCTGGGAAGCTTTCGCAGAAGCCGTTAACCGAATTCTGGAAAAGCATAAAAAGGGTTACAGGCCATTGGCAACACGAGGGCTTACTGATGCTATGATGCATCAAATAAACATGAACGATTTGAATGAAGGGTCATTGTTCGACTTCGATGATGTCAAAGGTAATTGTCAAACTTTGTATGCCAGCGGTTCGGAAAGGGTCGCGGCAGTTTTGACATGGGGGATGCTGTTCTTGTTGTCTTATCCAGATGTCTGCAACAAGCTTCAATCAGAGTTGGATGAAGTCGTGGGGAAATCACGTCGCCCAACACTTGATGACAGGCCAAATCTTCCCTTCACTTGCGCTACCCTAATGGAAATCCAGCGTTGTAATAACACATCACCGTTCTCGGTTCCTCACAAAGCTACACAGGACATCAGAGTTCATGGTTACTTGATACCCAAGGGGACTCAACTTATGGCAAACTACTGGTCAATATTCATGAACGAAACAGTTTGGCCCAATCCATACGACTTTCAACCGATGAGGTTTATTGACGACCGTGGCAATGTGAAAAAAGTCGAAGGATTTATACCATTTTCGTTAGGTATTTGAACTGTTATTGTCCATTTCCGGAGAAATGCATTTGTGTAAAATTAAAATTAATAAATAACGGCTAATTTTGTTGTCATACTTATCATAAGCATCTTTACAATAAAATAAACCCCGTTCTTTTATTCAAAAATAAGTTGATGCAAATTAATGCAAGTATTGTTGGTTATATTTTTGCATTTTGTATGTCATGTGCTGATGATTTGAAAACATGCCATAATATTGATAATAGTCTCATGTACAGGGGTAAGTGCAAAATTAGTTGTAAAACACATTCGAAGAACTGAAAATATCCTTATTGTTTTCAAGGCAAGCGTTCCTGCCCAGGAGAGAGTCTTGCCAGACCGGAGATGTTTCTGATCCTCACAACCTTGGTGCACGCTTTCACGTTCCACGTGCCAGATGGAGAGGTGCTTCCGGCCCCAGTTGGTATCACCGGCGCTGTGTACATGTCGCCGAAGTTCGCCGTGTGTGCCCGACCAAAAAACTAATACAATTATAAAACTTACACGAAGGACTATTAGGGGTTTGCTCTTAACATTATTCAAACATGTCAGCATCACCTTTTCTTTACATATTATATTTCTGTGTTACATAAATGGTCATTGTGGTTTGGATTTAATTTCAATATTAATCAGATTTAGCCAATAATTCCAAAGAATCAACAAAGGGTGTCAGAAAAGTTTTAAGCACTGCTTACATGGTATCACATTTCCAAGCGCAAAAACATTTTTCAACAAACTCATTAAAAGTGCGTCATGAAGGTCTCATCTCCCATAACAAGAAGATAAAAAAGGATAAATTGGGTAAAAACACAAATAGGCCCCTTTTACTACCTTTACAACGGTTTCCAGTACAATACAAATAATCAATAAAATGCATACAGAACGAATCATGCTGTTCTTTTTTCCTTAACAAGAATGAAAATATAATTATTTTGGTTAAAAACAAACAGTGGCACTACCTTAGCAAAGTGGTTGTTATATAATCACCACTGACAACTGACTGGATTTCTTGTCGTTAGAGTGTCATCCTCCAGAGTGGGAAGCCGTGGGTTAATCGACCCTGTCCGGGGACAAGCTAGTTCTTTATAAACGGAACCTCCTGTCTATATATATATATATACCCGCTTGACAGGCAGCATGTATGGGCTGAAGCAAGGTTGTAGTAAAAGGTATACACTGTAGTTCGTGTGCTACTGGTAGCTTTCAGCGTCCCATACGGTAGCTGAACTATATTTTCTTATGAAAGGTGGGAACGTTTACAGCATTCACGTACTCGTTCATTCACGACCAAAAACATGCCATAAAAAATAAAAAAAACCTTCTAAGCAAAGTGGGGCGTGGTATAAAGAACCCACAGCCGACTTGACTTTACTGTAGCCGACTTTTGACTGGCTTTTCAAAACTGCATCTTTAATGAACGTATTGAGTACCTTGTCTCAGCGACGTGGTGTCAAGGTTATGTACATGTCACACGATAAACCGAAAACTAAACAGACACGACCGATAACGGACAATATTTAGGTCGCTGCTGCTGCAGTAATTTTCAAAATGGCCTTGCTCGAAACGCAAGTTGGCCAGCTAGTAGATACAACTCTATTATTATGCCTTCTTTTGGTGGTGCTTTTCCTAATTTTGGTGAAGGACAGCAAGAGTGTGTACCTGCCCCCGGGACCATGGGGGGTGCCAGTTTTAGGCGTTCTCCCCTTTCTTCGGAAGGATCCACAGCTTACCTTAATGGAATGGGCTAAAAAGTATGGCAACATATTCACCGTCAAAATGGGAACCAGAACAATCGTTATGTTGAATGGTTATGAAGCTATCCGAGATGTGTTTCAGAGAAAGGGAGCATTGTCTTCTGGCAGGCCGCATCTTCTGACTTTTGATTTTCTACGCGGAAAAGGTGGGTTATAGATATTTGTATCTCGTATGGTTTCAAAGAAAAAAATTAATCCACAGGCGACACAGAGAGTGTGATTTACAATGGAAAAAAGGGACAAAATACAATGTTACAGGTAAATTCTCAAATTGGTATCTTACAGGTATATTGTGCGCTGATTACAGCAAGGGGTTTAAACGCCAGCGAGAGTTTATCATTAAATATCTGTCAAAGCTTGACGTGGAAAAGCACACAGAAGATGAAATCGACGCCCTTATCCAATACATAAGACACAAAAACGGACAACCGTTCGATTTCAACAATGCTGTAAGTGCTTCCACATCCAACGTCATAGGGACCATATTGTTTGGTAGCAGACAGGAATATGACGATCCTGACTTCCAAGCGTTAATAAATGCTTATCACAACGCAGCCAAATTAAGTAGTCAAGCCTCCGTCCAGAACTTTCTCCCGTTTCTGTGGTTTTTGCCTCAGTGTCGAAAATTGTCAATTGCCTGGGAAGCTTTCGCAGAAGCCGTTAACCGAATTCTGGAAAAGCACAAAATGGGTTACAACCCATTGGCAACACGAGGCCTTATTGATACAATGATGCACCAAACAAACGAGAACAACCAGAACTCAAAGTCGCTGTTTGACACTGAAGACCTCAAAGCTAATTGTCAAACATTGTACGTTACTGGATCGGAAACGACGTCGACGGCTTTGACATGGGGGATGCTTTTCTTGTTGTCTTATCCAGACGTATGCAAGAAGCTCCAATCAGAGTTGGATGAAGTTGTGGGGAAATCACGTCGCCCAACACTTGAAGACAGACCAAAGCTTCCCTTCACTTGCGCTACCCTAATGGAGTTACAGCGCTGTAATAACATAACACCGTTCTCGGCTCCCCACAAAGCTACACAGGACATCAGAGTTCATGGCTACTTGATACCCAAGGGAACTCAACTTATGGCAAACTACTGGTCAATATTCATGAACGAAAGGATTTGGTCCAATCCTCACGATTTTCAACCAATGAGGTTTATGGACGACTGTGGCAACGTGAAAAAAGTCGAAGGATTTATACCATTTTCGTTAGGTATTGAACTGTTTATGTCACTGTCGGAGCAAGACATGGTTGTAAAATGTTTATTTTAAAACTTGTTGGCTTCTTTTCTTATCATACTTAAGGAATCCTTCAATTAAATAAACTCCGTTCTTTATTCAGACCTCAATCGCTGCAATTCAATTCAAACATTGTTTGACACATTAACGCATTCTTCATGCCATATGCCACAACGGTGATAATAGCATAATGTAAGTGATAGCACAGAATTAGTTAAATGTTAGAGCGCATTCTCAACGAATTAAGCCAGGCTTTACAAAGCCGGTGACCTAAAAATGGCGGACGTACATGAAAGAAAAACCGCCTGATCTTTTAATAGTCTCTCCGCCTCTCACACGCCTCCCCACACGTCGTCCCTGCGGGATACAGTAATTAAATCTCGGCTCCGAACATTAATATTTCCGTGAATATCTCTGGTGATATTATCTCCGTAGATAGTCGATTCATTGCTGCTCTACGGGCCAAATTATTCCTTTTTCGTCTCTGTTTTCAAAGATAATAGAACAGAAGAGCTTTTTTCCTTCGATCGCCTTCAGCCGCCATGCTTTCTTCACCACGAGTTTAACTGATGAGCATGCGCACTTAATATTTCTCAGGTAGCTTCCGCATGGCGAACGGAGACGAGATTTAATTACTGTACCCCGCAGGGACAACGTGTGGGGAGGCGGAGAGACTATTAAAAGATTAGGCGGTTTTTCTTTCATGTACGTCCGCCATTTTTAGGTCACCGGCTTTGTAAAGCCTGGCTTAATTCGTTGAGAATGCGCTCTTAAACACTATTGAACACATTTCAACAACTACTGAATAACTGAAAATAACGATTTCATTTCTTTTTTTCAAGGCAAGCGTTCCTGTCCAGGAGAGAGTCTGGCCAAACCGGAGATGTTCCTGATCCTCACAGCCTTGGTGCACACTTTCACGTTCCAGGTGCCCGATGGAGAGGTGCTTCCGGCCCCAGTTGGTACCACCGGCTCTGTGTACGTGCCACCGAAGTTCACCGTGTGTGCCCGGCCGAGAACTTAACAAGTTATACAAATCCCAAATCGATCCGGATTTTGCCTTTAATTTCAGTATTTTAGTATGCTTGTCTTCAATTTTATGACCCTTATTGTGTTGTGTAATTAAAGAATTCCACATTAGGCTACTTTGCATGCTGAAACGAATTCTGTAAATGAAATATAGAGTTAATTTATCACGCGGGAAAACACATTGTACTCTTTTTTGCTTCTAAATTGTATTTGAGAAAAGGACTGGGGAGGTTGCATGTCCCTCATTACTTGCAAATGATACTACGTACCAGTATTTATTGTAATTACACATTACACATAGCTATAGGTACAGTATATAAAACGCATTTCAAGATATATAGTTAGACCGGTAGCTTGCTTATATACCGTACATGGCGTATACACATCGTATTCATCTGTAACTTAATTAACAAGGGGACCAGATACCTCTTGTGTATGAGCTATTTTTACCATAATTTGGCGAAATGTACAAGTACATGCAATGATGAACTTTTTTACATTGTTCGGGTATATGTGTGTGTGCGTGTTTGTGCGTATGTGTGTGCGGAGTGCGGAGGAAGAAGGGACAGTGACCCGAAAGATGTGAAAAAATATACATGTATTTGTTGGATCTTAATAAAATGTAATTGGCGTTTCCTTTCTCCAGTTCATCAGACGAACTCAACTTTCCCTTCATCTAGCTAGATGAGTGCCACAGGCCTTAAAATTCCACTGAACATGTGCTGTAGGCCCTCGACATCTGCCCCACCCACCCACCCCTTTCAAAGCATATATTTCTCAGCCAATGGCTCTGTCATGTTTACATCACATCCAGTAGAATTTATTACTAGAAGTAATGTAGATATTTTGAGTAGACCTGCAAAAGGTGCTGCAGATGCCTAGGAATATTAATAGCCTACGTAGATATCTCCATACACGTATATTTATTTGAAAATCCGCCAAAAATCGGCCAATGGGAGAGTTTCTGCCTAAACTGCTTCAAAAACAACCGTCATTTATAACAACAGTAACTATATCTAAATGAAGCGGGTGGTTGGGCTGAGAGATATAGTTGAAATGGGGTGTTCGTTCACTTCCTCAAATAAATGCGTCCTCTCTAGTCAAAGGAGCGTCTTACCTTAAAGCGATATATCAACTGGCTGCTTGCGTGTTATTAACCTATATGCTGTGAGTACACTCTAAAAACACTTCGGTTAAAAAACTGGGGAAAAAATGGTTGAAACCAACCGATTCAACTGTTCAATATGTGTCCAACTAACAATCATGTTGATGTAACTGATTAACGATCGGTAGGTAAATTAACCGACCAAATCAGTTAAGTTCCAACCAGTTAATCAGTTGAAATCTACCATGACAAACAGGCTAATTTAAATTATAAAATTCCAACTGGTTTAAAACAGAATTGGGCATTCCTGCGCCTGAAGAAACCTTTGTCAAAGATAAGCACTCAGCAGCAACCGAGAAAGTGCGACTGACACAATGCAGAATAGTTAAATACCTCGATTAATGAGGTTATTCCCCGCCAGGTACGCTTGGGAATGTATCTATCTAGGAACGCTTTGTGTCGGCTTCTTAAACAAGGTCTCGTGTACATCAACTACACGTACTTCAGCGTTCAATGATAAGAGGATGTTCGGGGACTGGCGCTGTTCGGGATGAAATGGAATTTTTTGGCTTAAGTGCTATCGATTTTTATTTGGGACATTGACATATGCATCCAAACTGGCCTCATCATAACAAGGGAGAAAGATTGTATTTGATCTCAAACCTTCCAACAAAGCTTCCGCGGCTCCGTGGTAACTCTGCTGCCTCGTACTTCGCGAGACACTGCTACGCGGGTTCGAATACTAGAACGTCCATTGCTCTTTTTGTTGCTGGAAATCATTTCTAAAAATTTTGTTTGGTTACTATAAGAGGAAACTCGTACCTACGGAGGGTGGGAGGGTGACTCACGGCGTAATCGGTAACGTGCACGGCTGCTAGGATGTTCGGGGACTGGCGCTGTTCGGGATGAAATAAAATTTTAGGGCTACCGATTTTTATTTGGGACATTGACATATGCATCCAAACTGGCCCTCTTCATAACAAGGTAGAAAGATTGTATTTGATCTAAAAACTTCCAACAAAGCTTCCGCGGCTCCGTGGTAACTCTGCTACCTCGTACATCTCGAAACACTGCTACGAGGGTTCGAATACTAGAAAGTCCATCGTTCTTTTTATTCCTGAGATCATTTCTAAAAAATTTGTTTGGTTACTATAAGAGGAAACTCGTATCTACGGAGGGTGGGCGGGTCACTCACGGCGCAATCGGTAGCGTGCACGGCTGCTAAAAAACATCCCCACATATCATCTACTATGGTAACGAATGACGAGTAGTCACGAGTTCGAATCCCGGACGAGGCATGTCACCTCCCCACGGATACAAGCTGACCACGTGATCGGGAAGGCCCGAAAACGAATGCAGTCCCTCCTGGGTCCCAGCAAATTACCTTTTGCATAAAAAACCGGTATAGTGATCGACTTGACAACTTTTTGCTGGTTGTTATCATAAAGTCTGCCGCGTCAGTAGCACTTCCTTACACTTTATTTAATGTTTCTTAAAATGATGCTTAGGCGGGAATGGTCCCTGATCTCTATCCTTTACCAGCTACGCAACAGATCAAATTTGAATTGAGCCAATAGCTAAACCGGCATGGCGCCATTCTCGTCATACTGCCCTTTCATCAGAGAGTGCTGTCGTCTCGGAGACATTATCAGCAAGATAATTTTTTCTTATCTTTTCGAAAGTTACGACACCGCTATCGCTTCAACCGATCTACCATTTTGTTGTTTTTGATACCCTCGGCTCCTCCCGGGCCTTGCTCATCAAGAAAGTTCGTATTGTCTTACAGTACCCGGGGCAACTCCACAGTGGCCATTAGAAATGGCAAAGACTACTCAAAACCAAAACTGCCATATAGTGTGAACCGCTTTATCTATCGTCGTGCTCTATAACGTCACAGGTGAAGTCAGACGTTACAATCTCGTTGTAAACCAAAGTGAAAATAAAAGCATCTGAAACTAGAAAATCTTTCCGAGGGCGCAGACCTCTGCCAAGGCAGCAAAGTCTCCACCCAAAGCCGTTTCACCCCTAAATTTTCATTCTATAATGATTTAGTTTTTGGATTTTTGATTATTGATTATTGATTGATAATTGATCCTGATCACCACCAAAAACTAATCATCTGTTCCTTGGTCCACTTCTGACATTTCCTGAAAATTTCATCAAAATCGGTCTAAAACTTTTTCTGTAATGTTGCTAACAGACAAAAGTATCCTTTCGGCGGCATTGTCTGCCAAAAACTTTTTTCTCAAAATTCACATCGTTGCAATATTGCTGGAATGGCAAGTGCAAAAGATTTAACACATTTGAACGTTTACTAATGACTCCCTCTTCTTTGGTGCTTGCTAACACTTAAATCGTCCCTTTGTGCTATTTCACGTCATAGGCTATACCAAACTAAATCTCAGCTCAAAAGAAAGTCATTGTAAAAATGGGAATGTATCTATCTAGGAACGCTTTGTGTCGTCTTCTTAAACAAGGTCTCGTGTACATCATCTACATGTACTTCAACGTTCAATGATAAGAGGATGTTCGGGGACTGGCGCTGTTTGGGATGAAATAAAATTTTAGGGCTACCGATTTTTATTTGGGACATTGACATAGCCATCCAAACTGGCTCTCTTCATAACAAGGTATAAAGATTGTATTTGATCTGAAAACTTCCAACAAAGCTTCCGCGGCTCCGTGGTAACTCTGCTACCTCGTACATCGCGAAACACTGCTACGAGGGTTCGAATACTAGAAAGTCCATCGTTCTTTTTGTTGCTGGAAATCATTTCTAAAAATTTTGTTTGGTTACTATAAGAGGGAACTCGTACCTACGGAGGGTGGGCGGGTCACTCACGGCGCAATCGGTAGCGTGCATGGCTGCTAAAAAAAACATCCACACACATCATCTACCATGGTAACGAGTGACGAGTAGTCACGAGTTCGAATCCCGGACGAGGCATGTCACCTCCCCACGGATACAAGCTGACCACGTGATCGGGAAGGCCCGAAAACGAATGCAGTCCCTCCTGGGTCCCAGCAAATTACCTTTTGCATAAAAAACCGGTATAGTGATCGACTTGACAACTTTTTGCTGGTTGTTATCATAAAGTCTGCCGCGTCAGTAGCACTTCCTTACACTTTATTTAATGTTTCTTAAAATGATGCTTAGGCGGGAATGGTCCCTGATCTCTATCCTTTACCAGCTACGCAACAGATCAAATTTGAATTGAGCCAATAGCTAAACCGGCATGGCGCCATTCTCGTCATACTGCCCTTTCATCAGAGAGTGCTGTCGTCTCGGAGACATTATCAGCAAGATAATTTTTTCTTATCTTTTCGAAAGTTACGACACCGCTATCGCTTCAACCGATCTACCATTTTGTTGTTTTTGATACCCTCGGCTCCTCCCGGGCCTTGCTCATCAAGAAAGTTCGTATTGTCTTACAGTACCCGGGGCAACTCCACAGTGGCCATTAGAAATGGCAAAGACTACTCAAAACCAAAACTGCCATATAGTGTGAACCGCTTTATCTATCGTCGTGCTCTATAACGTCACAGGTGAAGTCAGACGTTACAATCTCGTTGTAAACCAAAGTGAAAATAAAAGCATCTGAAACTAGAAAATCTTTCCGAGGGCGCAGACCTCTGCCAAGGCAGCAAAGTCTCCACCCAAAGCCGTTTCACCCCTAAATTTTCATTCTATAATGATTTAGTTTTTGGATTTTTGATTATTGATTATTGATTGATAATTGATCCTGATCACCACCAAAAACTAATCATCTGTTCCTTGGTCCACTTCTGACATTTCCTGAAAATTTCATCAAAATCGGTCTAAAACTTTTTCTGTAATGTTGCTAACAGACAAAAGTATCCTTTCGGCGGCATTGTCTGCCAAAAACTTTTTTCTCAAAATTCACATCGTTGCAATATTGCTGGAATGGCAAGTGCAAAAGATTTAACACATTTGAACGTTTACTAATGACTCCCTCTTCTTTGGTGCTTGCTAACACTTAAATCGTCCCTTTGTGCTATTTCACGTCATAGGCTATACCAAACTAAATCTCAGCTCAAAAGAAAGTCATTGTAAAAATGGGAATGTATCTATCTAGGAACGCTTTGTGTCGGCTTCTTAAACAAGGTCTCGTGTACATCAACTACATGTACTTCAACGTTCAATGATAAGAGGATGTTCGGGGACTGGCGCTGTTTGGGATGAAATAAAATTTTAGGGCTACCGATTTTTATTTGGGACATTGACATAGCCATCCAAACTGGCTCTCTTCATAACAAGGTATAAAGATTGTATTTGATCTGAAAACTTCCAACAAAGCTTCCGCGGCTCCGTGGTAACTCTGCTACCTCGTACATCGCGAAACAC